TGAAGTTATATGATAAAAACACAAATAATGTTATTCTCTTCCTTAAAACCACCTATGGCTTCCCACTGCACTTAGGATAAAACTTACACTTATTTCCACAGCCCAAAGTCCCTGCATGGTTGGACCTCTGTCTCCTACCTCATCTCCTACCACTCTCCACCTGCCTTTCTGTTTCTTGATTGTATATGCCAACTTATTTTCCACCTTAAAGGCTTGTCTCTTACATACTGGAATGCATCTGCTATGCCTCCTTCATTTTTTTTCTTTAAGTCTTTGGTAATCAAGCTTCAGACAATGAAGTATGACCTCCTTCTTAATTCTTCCCTCTGCACAGAATGTTCTGCTTTTCTATTCCCCTATCTTAAGTCAAATGTCACTCACCAGAGATGACTTCCCTGACAACTTTATCTAAGTAGACACTTTTCTCCATAATAACTTATCACTACCTGCAATTATCTTGTTCATTTATTTGTTTGCTTGTTCTTGTCTGTCTTCCTTCATTAGCATGCAAGGTTCATGAGAGCAAGGACTTTGTCCTGTTCACTCCTATATCTCCAATCTCTAGAAGAGTGTCTGACACATTCTGGGCATTCAATAAATAATACCTATCTACCCTGAAGGATGAGATTTGTATGTGAAATATTAAGCTCATTGGTACAAAATTGGTGCTCAACAAACATTAAATTCCTTTCCTATGCATAGATGAGACTAATCAATTCAATCCCCTGCTCAGCAAATATCTCACATGTATCATCTTGGATGTCAAGGATGTTGTGTACTATTATTCAAAAACACATAGTAAAGGAATAATGAGCATGTATGGGATATTCTCTTTTTGCTTCTACCAATCCACTCCTCAGTCGCCTGCTCCAAAGGGGTTCCCTTATTCTCTGGCATCTGGCTGGGTTTGGTCAATAGAAGTTACTGCTGGGAGTTCAGAAAGTAGAAGAGTGAGGTTTTCCTGACTGAGTTCCTGTTGGGCATACCTCTTCTATAGTTCTCTCCAGGTAGTGCTCATTGTACCTTCATGCCTGGGGACATTACATCCCTTGTTGGTTTCCCTGAACCCTCTCTACACTGTTGCAAATAGTCCCTCCTGAAAATTTCCTCAATCACAGAGTAGTGTCATCCCTCAAAATGGAACACTCATCTGTTTCCTGTTAGAACTCTAATACAGACAGAATAAGAAAAAGCAGACAGAATTAAAACATGCCTTCATTTTTTTTTTTAAAGATTTTATTTATTTATTTGACAGAGAGAGAGACAGCGAGAGAGGGAACACAAGCAAGGGGAGTGTGAGAGGCAGAAGCAGGCTTCCTGCGAGCAGGGAGCCCGATGCGGGGCTCGATCCCAGGACCCTGGGATCATGACCCGAGCCGAAGGCAGACACCCAACGACTGAGCCACCCAGGCGCCCCTAAAACATGGCCTTCAGCAGCACAAAAGCAACAAAGGTAAAAGGAGACATGGAGTGACACACACAAAACAATGTGTGTGTTCTGCCATCTCCCTGTTTAGTGTCTTTGGATCACTAGTGTCTGAGGTTGGGTCCTCTAGAAGTAGATGATGAGAAGATTTTGGGGTTCAAGGGATCACCACTTGTGAAAGGAAGAGGGAGAAAGCAGGATTAGGCAAAGGGCAAAGTCAAACCACAGTGCAGGATCTACAAAGCTTCAGTAAACCCAATAGGGAGCTCTGGAGTGAGGAATGCCTGTCAGTGTCCCACAGAAGGTTCAAATGACCCCACCTTTGTACTCCCTTGTCATTGATCCACTAGATCACACAGGGAGGGGTGTCTGCCAGAGGCTAACCTGCCACCTGTACTCCCTGCAGCTGAACAGAAGGTCTTACCTTAAAGAGGGAATATGGGGGGCCATCTCTATATCTTCCACACCAGTTTGAATCTTAATCGTTCTTGGGCCTTATCTCTCACTGTCTACCATGGGAACTGTTTTCAAAGGCTTTGTTCTAGTTCCCTTCCCTAGTAAAAACCACCCCAGCTTAATTAGTTCAGCTTCTCCCATGTACTTCTGATCAAATTTCTCTATCTAATAAATTTCCAGAGTGACAGGTAGCTAGGTGAAAGAAATATGTTCCTACTTTAGGAAATCTGATGTACTAAGAGACAAGATAGTACTATATAGTATCAGAAATAATACCATCAAGCAGTAGAAGTATAGCATTGATGATTATGTCTTCATATTGTCATGGAAAGGGTTACTCTGTGACATTATCTCTAAGATACTGAACATGTGTGGTTTTGATGATTCATTCTTTAGCTTTATGCAGGAAGTACTCTTACTTCTTGTATATACAGTTTCTGAAGAATGCCATAGTTCTTCCAAATCAGTATTCCTGACTGTTACCATTAAATCTTCCTCAGCAGCAGTATACTTTAATATTGACACAACAGTTGACCTGCAAAATGCATCAGCAATTAGATAATATCTAATTAGCTTAATAGGGCTGTCTTTATAGTGAAATTGATGCTTTGATTTCTTTAAACCAAATGCTCTTACCCCTTTCACATACCACCTCTTCACCTGGGTCTATTAGAGAAGGTTAACATTATACTATCACATTTCAGATATCTTGTTAAATTATATTTAAGTGATGATCTGAAAATAAAGTGAAATAATCTGAGTGCATTAAGTAACAAGAAAGTGGGAACATTTCTAGTAGAAGAAAATCTCCAGGCTGGTATCTTAGGCAAAAATTTTTCTCCTGTTTTTCTTTTTTTTCTTTAATTTAGGTTTTATTTATTTATTTTTGTGAGAGAGAGGGAGAGAGAGAGCAATCACACAAGTGGGGGGGGTGGCGCAGAGGGAGAAGCAGACTTCCCCACTGAGCAGGGAGCCTGATGCAGGACTTGATTCCAGGACCCCAGGACCATGACCTGGGTCGAAGGCAGACAGATGTTTAACCGACTGAGCCACCCAAGGGCCCTCTCCTATTTTTCTTGACTCAAATTTCCTTAAGTCCAATCAATAGACAAATTTAAATTTAGCTGTGTTCTTAATTTAAAACAAAATTGGGGCACCTGGCTAGCTCAGTTGGTAGAGCATGCAAGTCTTGATGTTGGGGTTGTGAGTTTGAGTCCCACGTTGGGTGTAGAGATTGCTTAAAAAAAGAAATCTTAAAAAAAAACACAAAATTCGGGCACCTGGGTGGCTCAGTTGGTTGGGCGACTGCCTTCGGCTCAGGTCATGATCCTGGAGTCCCGGGATCGAGTCCCGCGTCAGGCTCCCTGCTCGGCGGGGAGTCTGCTTCTCCCTCTGACCTCCCCTCTCTCATGCTCTCTCTCTCTCTCAAATAAATAAATAAAATCTTTAAAAAAAAAAACAAAATTCAAATAATTAGTTCAGAATTTAACTGTAATGTCTTTAATATTGAATACAAAAAAGGAAAAAGAACATTAATTATTAAATATTCTTGATTTGATATTATAGATTATGCAAATAATTGTGCACCAAATTTTGAAGCTGAAGAGTTAATGTCTTTGACAACATAGCTTATAGACTTGTAAAAGTGTTCAAGAAACTAATCTTTTTTTTTTTTTTACGATTTTATTTATTTATTTGAGAGAGAGAGAGAGCACAAGCATTGCGGAGAGGCAGAAGGAGAGGGAGAAGCAGGCTCCCAGCTGAGCAGGGAGCCCCATGTGGGGCTCGATCCCAGGACCCTGGGGCCATGACCCAAGCCGAAGGCAGACGCTTAACCGACTGAGCCACCCAGGTGCCCCAAGAAACTAATCTAAAGCTTTTTGAGTGTGCATGTGAACAACTGTACAGTGATCTGATTGCCAGCCAAATGATCCTCAAATTCATGTTCTATCAGATTCTTTCTAAAGATGTAAAAATCTTTGATCTGAGAGGGGGCTTCTTACTATTGTTTTTGGAAAACAAACAAACACATTGTTTTTTGTTGTTGTTGTTGTTGTTGTTGTTTTTAGGATCCTGAAAGCAAAAGTCCTTCACTTTAGCTTGCTCAGGTGCTGGATATTTGCTTTGTTATGTCAGACAACTAGAGGGGAGTGTGGTGTCATACAACTGCTGTATTCTGGAAGCCATGCACTCGGTGGCATGCCCAAATATAGGGAAGGGGTACAGCAAAGAAGGAGTTAGAAAGATACTTTCTCAAGGTTGAAATAAGACAACTCTGGTTTCCCCAAATCTACCGAGATCTAGTGTTTTACATAGAAAGTCCCAATATAGGGCTTTGATCCCCTTTAAGCAGCAGTAACATTAGGTAATATCTAGCTAGCTTAATAGTACCTCAGTTTCCTCATAAGCAAAATATTACCTACCTTAGACAGTTGATGTGAGAGTTAAATCACATAATTGTTTAAGACAATACCTGGAGGGCGCCTGGGTGGCTCAGTTGGTTAAGCGACTGCCTTCGGCTCAGGTCATGATCCTGGAGTCCCAGGATCGAGTCCCGCATCGGGCTCCCTGCTCGGCAGGGAGTCTGCTTCTCCCTCTGACCCTCCTCCCTCTCATGCTCTCTGTCTCTCATTCTCTCTCTCAAAATAAATAAATAAATAAATCTTTAAAAAAAAAAAAAAGACAATACCTGGAACATAAGAAGTACTTACCACTTTGAACTATTATTCTTAACTAAATACAAGTTTCAGTTTCATAGTAACACTGAAGGTTTTTGAAATATGAAAGTGGGATTTTTTTAAAATAACTTTCATCATATTTCAAAGCCATGGTTTTAATATAAATTATTACTGCTTCTACATATAACTATATACTTTCTCCATTGATAACTGTTATTTGCATGCAGCAAATACCCTGTATTTATTGACTGATTTAAAGACTTTAACATAAAGAGATGAGCTACCTTTTTGTAGAGGCCTGTCTAAGAACTGTTCTGTTGAGTGCAAGGTACCTTTAAGTGAGACTGTTTTACATGGGTCAACTTTATAAGCCATGAGTCCAACTAAAAATCTCTGTTAATTATTAAACCCTTATGTATTATCTGGATACCTGACACTGCAGATTGCAAACAGAGAGCACTTGTCCCTCAAGTTAAGCCTAAACACCAGTTGAAAAATGTAATTGTCAAGGGATTCAGAAAAACAAACCTTTTCTCTTAAATTTAGTGGAGAGAGTGGGATATCTCTTGTTTTGGCTGACATATATACGGCCTAAACAATTGGCTTAAACCTTGTTTGGGATTCCTGCTTGTTTTAGCATGGCGGAGCTTGGAGTTCACAGAATCTTCCTTTTGGTAATTTCTCTGATAAAGTGTCTGGAGGGCACAAAACTGCTGGCAGATTTTAAAAAATGTGGTGACTTGGAGTGTGAAAGTAAGTTTGCTTTTCTTTTTTTCCTTCTTTTCCTCTTAAACTAAGGTTCTGAAATGACATGTTATTGTGGACATGTAGGATAGAAGTGAGCAGTAATGTCATTGAGAAATATTTGCCATTATAAAATACACTTACCTATAAAAAGAAAGTGCTAGAAGCAAAGCATATTGTAATAATTTTTAATGTAAGTGTATCAAGGGGCAAAGATCAGCCTGATATATAAATATATCAGAAATGATGAAGGTATTAATCCAGGCCTCAAAAACAAATCAGCACTTTTACTGTTTTTTAAGGTAGCTAAATTGATTTGTATTGATTTGTATTAAAAAGATTTCAAGCCATTTGATAGTTCTTTATTTATGAAGCTCTTACATTTTTTAGTTTCTTTTTTTTTAAGGTTTTATTTATTTATTTGACAGAGAGAGAGACACAGCGAGAGCAGGAACACAAACAGGGGGAGTGGGAGAGAGAGAAGCAGGCTTCCAGCGGGGCAGGGAGCCTGATGCGGGACTCAATCCCAGGACACTGGGATCGTGACCTGACCCGAAGGCAGACGCTTAACGACTGAGCCACCCAGGCGCCCCTATTTTTTAGTTTCTATTTCTCAATCAGAACTTTCTGATTCTCACAAGTTTTCTAAAAATGCATTTATTTCTTATCACCATGATTTATTGTTTAAGCTTTATCAAACATTAATCATTTCCATGTTCATTTATCATGTAAAAATAATGAAATCAGTGTTAAGAGTACATAATTTTATTTATATACTTGAATATTAACTCTCTCCTATCTTCTACAAAGAAAAACTAATTTTCATTTTATTGCTTAAGAAGTATTTTCTGTTATTAGCATTATGGTGCAAGATGAATAGTATCACAATATATTACATCTGTTTCAGATATGTTCTGTCTCTTCAGTATGTGAGAATTATTTCTGATTTGCAACATGTAAATTAAAAATGCAAAATATTATTAGTGGGAAAGTAATAATTTATAAGTAAATTTTTTGAGTAAACATTTTCCTTAATCATTTGGATATGTAATTTGATATATAGAGATTTACTAGATGATGTTTTATAATAGTAATAATCTTTCTTTCCCTCTTTACAACCTCATTTTAGTTTCCTTAGGGCCAGACATGAAACATGGAAAGGGAACATTCAAATTTATAGTGATTTATAATGTTATTTTAACTTTAATCATATGACTTAATCAAAATGTTTTACATGTTAGTATAATTATAATAGGTAATATGGTATGTATATTACTTTATGTATTGAAGGGCTAAATTTAGTGTATCTAGTTCTGATCATAGTTATTGAGGGCCTATTATGTGCTGAGTCTGGAGGGGTAGGAGTGTGATTTAAGAGGAACAAAATGAAATGTCAGTTAAGTTTCTTGACCTCCAGGAATTAGGTCAACATGAAAAAGTAAATAGCAATACAACATAAGGATAATAGATAATATTGAAGTTCAGAAAAGGGGCAGAATAGGCTGGACCAATTTGGGATGTCTCACAGAAGAAGTAGGATATGAGCTCATCACAAAGAGACTGAAGGGTTTCTAGGCTTAGGAAAGAACAGAAAGAAAAATCTCAGAATATGGAAGGCAGATATTGCAGTAAAAATAATCTCAGTGAAAATCTGGCTCCACCATTTATCAGGTGTGTGACCAACTCTCTAAGACTTAGTTAAAGGCTCATTTGTTAGACTGTTATAAGATTTTTGACCTTATAGGTCTGTTTGGGGATTTAATAAAATAAAGATATGAAAGAGTTATCATAATGCCTGGAATATACAAAAGTCCCCATTACCCATGGGTCACTTTCCATGGTTCTAGTTACCTGGGGTCAACCATGGTCCAAAAGCAGATGATCCCTCTTCTGACATGCAGTCAGAAGGTCAATAGTAGCCCAACTCTATGTCACAGTGCTTACCTTGTGTACCTCACTTCAGCTCATTAGGGAGGCATTTTATCATCTTACGTCATTGTAAGAAGAATAAGATATTTTGAGAAAGAGAGATTGGTCACATAACTTTTATTACAATACATTGTTATAATTGTTCAATTTTACTATTATTGTTGTTGACTCTTACTGTGCCTAATTTATAAATTAAACTTTATTATATGTATGTATACATAGGCAAAAAACATAGTGTATATAGGGTTCAGTACTCTCTGTGGTTTCAGACACCCACTAGGGGTCTTGGATCATATCCCCCACAGATAAGGGGGACTACTGTAGTAGGTGCTAGGAAGAAAACAAATTATCTTCACCTTTCCTTCCTGACAAGAATGATAATGACATATTCCAGGGACAATGGATAGATGAACTTGACTGTAAAAGAATAAGAGGAAATCATTTTAAATAAGGAAGAGGATCAGGTTATGAATAGCCTTGGATACCAAGCCAAAGAACTTAGAATTGATTCTGTGTGCAGTGGGAAGTCTATGTAGGTTTTTGAGGCGATAAATAATATGAAGAAATTAGCATTTGGAAATACATAGGGTAGACTGGAGGAGGGCAAGATGGGAGGGGGGGAAATAACATTTTAATTTAAATTGTGTGTTTTTCTCACGTTTACATAGCTTTAATAAGCAGAGTCTTAGCTGTGAGAGATTACAGAGGACCTGACTGCCGATACCTGAACTTCACTAAGGGAGAAGAGATATCTGTTTATGTTAAGCTTGCAGGAGAAAGGGAAGATTTGTGGGCAGGAAGTGTAAGTATCTAGTTTTAAAAACTGAATGTAAAAAAAAAAAAAAACTGAATGTAGAATAAATGACTAGCTTGTACAGAATACCTGGTTTTCATTTCTAAAGGAACTTTAATAATTTTAAAGCACTTTACATATATAGTATATATGTAATATATATATTTAAAACCCTTAACATATTTTTAAAAAAATATTTATTTGTTTGAGAGAATGAGAGAGAGAGAGAGAGAGAGCATGTGCATGAGTTGGGAGAGGGGCAGAGGGAAAGAACCTCAAGTAGATTCCCGGGTGAGTGTGGAGCCCCACATGGGGTTTGACCTCATGACCCTGAGATCAGGACCTGGGCCAAAATCAAGAGTCAGATGCTTAACCAACTGAGCCACCCATGCACCCCACCCTAAACATATTTAAACAAATAAAAAATGGTTATGTTCAGTCTTGGTTCAGGGAATACAAGCAGGGGGAATGGGAGAGGGAGAAGCAGGCCTCCCGCTGAGCAGGGAGCCCGATGCGGGGCTTGATCCCAGAACCCTGGATCATGACATGAGCCAAAGGCAGATGCTTAACGACTGAGCCACCCAGGCACCCCGGTTCCAGAATTTCTATAAAAGTAATATTTTCGGAAGACATTCTGGTTGGGATAGAGAACTAAGAGTGCCTTGAAATTATTTTTACATAGCATGCATAGTTTTTGAAGTTAAGTTTTATATTTACTTGGAGAATAAAATTTAGAGGTGGAGATTATGGGATGTCTAGGCAACACCAGTGATCCCATGGTGCTGTCAATGGCTTAGTTTAAGAGAGACTGGGAAGTTTTAGTTAATCAGATTAAAAGACATGTCTTTCTGAGCAAATAAAGGATGGCTAGGTTTCTTTAAGATTTTATTTATTTGAGGGACGCCTGGGTGGCTCAGTCGGTTGAGCGTCTGCCTTCGGCTCAGGTCATGATCCCAGGGTCCTGGGATCGAGTCCCGCATCGGGCTCCCTGCTCCGCGGGGAGCCTGCTTCTCCCTCTGCCTCTGTCTCTCTCTCTGTCTCTCATGAATAAATAAAAAAAATAAATAAATAAATAAAATAAAATAAAAAAAAGATTTTATTTATTTGAAAGAGAGAGAGAGCACAGGTGGGGTTGGGGGAGAGTGCAGAGGGAGAGAGAGAAACAGACTCTCTGCGGAGCAGGGAGCCTGATGTGGGGTTCGATCCCAGGACCCCGAGATCATGACCTGAGCCAAAGGCAGATGCTTAACCGACTGAGCCACCAGGCGCCCCAAGGATGGAGTTCTTATTGAAGAGATCCAGAGAGATGAGTAGCCTAGAGAATCAAGGTATATGAATTTTTCATGAAAAACAACAATGACAACAATTGGGAGAGCCTTTTATTTGGCCCACAGTCCTATTACACTGAAATTCCTAGAAGCCTGAGTAATCTCTCTAAATATATAACAGGAAAATTAATGATTAATGTTTTCAACTGGAAACACATTTGTATCTTTGATGGTATCGTTATGCTTTATAATGAAAAGATGCTGTAAGCAATTTTACTTCCAAGCTGAACAAGTGTGACCAACCTGATGCATACATCATTTCCATATTGAACATGCAACAGATTTTTCTGTTGTGTAACCCCTGTGATCACTATTCGAAGGAACAGGTTCTGTTTGGATCCTGCTTTTTAGCATTAGGGGCTGTATGACTGAACCCCTGACTGTCAGTGGCCAGAATTATTTGGCTTTTGCAGTTCCCAAGATTCCTTACTGCTTATGGTCTCTTACACATGCCAGTGGATGTCTTTGAACAAATTAGAGGCAACCAATGCAGCTGTAAGAAAAGTGACACGGTAGGGATCGTAAGAGGAAAGGAAAGCATTCTTTCTTGTTTTCTATGTGTGAAAATGATAGTTCCACGCAAAAGCAGCGTGTACTGTGTGGAGGCAGGGTGAAGTTTCAAGCATACTGAGTTCCTTGCATTAGGTGT